ATATACCCTATAAAATTCTTGAACAGGCAGGTCGGTCATATAATTTTTCATTACGAGGTATGTGTCCTTTATAAATTGGAATAGGGGTGGAAGAGTCGAGATGATATGTTCCTGTTTAGATGTTGTCATGGGTGGCGGATTCCCATTGAAGTCAGGGTAAGAATCCGCGATGGCTCTCAAGTAAGCATAGAACGCCTCACTGGCGCCTGGGTATTTCATAGCGTCACCGAGTTTCTTGAAATATTCCAGGTCTCCCTTGCGGGATGGTGAAACATCTAAGAACACTGTGCGCCTATCATCATTCTCCACTCTGAGAGCATTTTCATTAGTAAGGACAATAGTTGACATAAAGTTCTTGTAATGTGTTGGCGTTTTATATTTTTCGTGGATTTCCATTATATCACTCGTTACTTTATCTTTCAAAGAGCGATACAGAGAATTCCACTGGCTTTTTTCTGTGGGCATTTCCTCGAGAAGAAGAAGAACTTTACCCTGTAATTGCCCATTGAAACTTCCAAGAATCGTCTGAGGATCGCTGGTCTTATAAACGAGTTGAGTGCCTAGGACGCTGCGCTGAATGAAATCTGTTATAATACCTTTGCCCCAACCCTGTCCAGATTTTAGGTAGAGAATCGAGTACATCTTCCTTCCAGCTGCCACACAGGCTAACCACTTGATGATATACTCAGTGAGATTCCAATCACCCGAACACCAGATTTCCTGAATGTGAGAGAAGATAAATTTAACCGCGAGGTGAATTGTAGACTCAAAGGTGGATATCGGACGCAAGACGTGGAGAAATCCTGGGAAGATATTTAGATAGAGTTGGCCGGTTAAGGATCTGAAGATTCGCTGTTTATGGGGATCACAGGTTGCATTACATACATAGGTATTCTCAACCATAAACCACTTGTAGATGTTGAACTCGGTCTTTTGAGAGGGTCCTTGTTCAGGTTGTGTGTAGAATGCCTTCGTGATTGGACGGATAAGCTTACCAATATTTTTGTCAATAACGTGTTTCAAACTTTTACTATCCGGGTCCCACCAGAAAACCCCATGAGGATCTGCACAGGGAATGAAATAACTGCAAAGATACCTCTTGGCTTGATCGAGATCACTCATACTTTTAGCAGCGTTAATGAGTCGTTTAAGCTCATTGATACTGAAGGCTTTCTTTTGTTCACAGAACTTGGGGATAACTTGAGCTTGAGCGGCCATTTTTTGTTCTATTAAATCGAGTACTAATTTATAGTTACCTAATCTTCAATTGCCGAATATATTTTTTCCAAAGATCCGCGCTCCTACCCGGTCACCCTCCTGTGGTTCTACAGTCCTTCTAGGGGCTATTAACCTACCTGTTAACTTAGTTTGCTATCTCATTGCCTCCAATGAGAAAACGAATGGAATCCTGAAAGAGTAACGGATCGTAACGAATGTAACAGATCTGGGGGGGTAAAATCAAAACTTTTTTCTGAGGGGGTGTCCTCTCCTAACTTTCTGAAATATCTGTTACATCTGTTACATCTGTTACTCCCTTCTGATTCTATCATATTTTCCTCTCTTTTCCCTTATTTTATCTGTTTTTTAGTATATTTTTAGTAACAGATGTAGTAACGGATAGTAACGGATCTTGGGGAGTCCCGCCCCACGGAGGGGGGATGTAGGTACTGCGAGGCCGTGAGGCCGAGGTGGGGTGAGCGCTAGCGAGACACACTACCAGCCCGACGACCGACAACACCGTTTGTAATAATAATAATAAAAAAAAATTAAACCAAGATTCGTACTTACTTACGAATCTTGGTTCCTTTTCTTCCGATTTTCGGAAGTCAACCCGAAACCTAAAAAATAAAAGAAAGGAACGGTTAGTAAACCGTTCCAAATAATAAAAAAAAACCAAAACCAAAACCAAGATTCGTATATACTTACGAATCTTGGTTCTTTTCCGTACTTTGGAATTCAGAAATCCACCCGATCCTAAAAAAAAAAGAAAGAACGGTTATTAGTAACCATTCATTAATAATATTAAAAAAAAAAGAAAAAAAATCAAGATTCGTAATTACTTATGAATCTTGATTTTCCGTTCTTCAGAATTCGGAAGTCAACCCGAAACCTAAAAAATAAAAAAAGGAACGGTTAGTAAACCGTTCCAAATAATAAAAAAAAAACAAAACCAAAACCAAGATTCGTATATACTTACGAATCTTGGTTCTTTTCCATACTTCGGAATTCAGAAATCCACCCGATCCTAAAAAAGAAAAGAACGGTTATTAGTAACCGTTCATTGATAAAATTAAACAAAACAAAAAAATTAAAACCAAGATTCGTATATACTTACGAATCTTGGTTCTTTTCCGTTCTTCAGAACTCACGAACCTAAAAAAAGAAAGAACGGTTATTAGTAACCGTTCATTAATAAAAATAAAAAAAAAACAAAATTAAAACCATGATTCGTATATACTTACGAATCTTGGTTTTTTTTTCGTTCTTCGGAACTCAGAAGCCCCTCCTGAGACACCGAACCTATAAAAAATAAAAGAAAAAGAACGGTTAGTAATAACCGTTCCAAATATTAAAAAAAGAAAAAAAAAACTAAGATTCGTAGTACAGAATCTTAGTTTTTTTCCGTTCTTCGGAAACTCACCCAAACGGCCGAACCTATAAGAAAAAGAAAGGAACGGTTAGTAACCGTTCATATAATAGGAAAAAAATAAAATAAAAAATAAACCAAGTTTCATACTCGTACTTACAAAACTTGGTTTTTTCCATTCTTCGGAACTCAGAAGCCAACCCAATCCTAAAATAATAAAGAAAAAAATGGTTATTAGTAACCGTTCGTTAATATTACAAAAAAAAAACAAAAAAATTAAACCAAGATTCGTGTACTTACGAAACTTGGTTCTTTCCATTCTTCGGAACT